AACCTGTTTTTCAATAGCAGTAGATTGATTCTACAATGTATATCTTGGGATTGTATACAGGTCAGAGTTGGAAACCTAATTCTATATACACACAATCATGCGGGTTTGATAAGAGATTTAGAAAGATTTCGATAGACTGGTAATTTGTCCAGGACTGGCCAGACCAGAAAATTCAGTCCAAGAGCTAATCATTTCATGCTAGAACTCATCCCAAGAACCCGAAATTTCATTGCGAGATGTTGCGGTAACTCTTGCATCAGTTGGGGTCAAAGTGCACACATCCACAATCAAAAAGACAATGCACTAATTCAACCTTCATGAGAGGTGTGTTCAAACAAAACTAAACTTTGCTATCCTTTCTTCCAGTAAAGCTGCCCTCTCAGCCTTTGCTTGACCTGCAGTTGCCATGATGCTGCATGTGATCTGTTATGACAACCTTATGATGGCCTGACAGTTCAGTTGAGATCACAGGCAACTGTGACAGTTATTTTATTTATTTTTATTACAAGTACTTATATAGCGCCATCAATTTACACAGCGCTTTACATGTATATTGTACATTCACATCAGTCCCTAACCCTCAAGGAGCGTACAATCTACTGTTCTTAAATCACATTCATATATACACATACTAGGGCCAATTTAGACAGGAGGCAATTGACCTACCAGCATGTCTTTGGAGTGTGGGAGGAAACTGGAGTACCTGGAGGAAACCCACACAGGCACAGGGGGAACATGCAGTTATCCTTCACAGCATGCCTTAAATGTAGCGGATTTGGGAAATGGTTAAATCTGTTGATTAGTTCCGCTTTAAGAAAAAGCCTATGCTGTCTAAAAGAGCATTAGAGCAAGACTACAGTTTACCAATAAACATATAGGCAAAGGCCAGGTCTTCTGCCATCAACTGATGAAATAAAGATAGAATTCTTTGGATAATAATAGACATGCTTACCACAAACCAAAGACAGCATTTCAGGAGAGGAACCTCCTAACTGTGAAACAGAGTGGTGGAAATGTTATGGTTTGGGGTTACTTTGCTGCTTCATGACCTGGGCAGCTGGCAGTCATTGAGTCAACTATACATCTACATCATATCAAAGTGTGCTTGAGGAGAACGTGAGGCCATCTGTCCAAAACCTGAAGGTGAACCAGAAATGGTTCTTTCAACATAATGATCCAAAGTGCAAGCAAATTCTCCAAGGATTGACTCAAAAAGAAGAAATGGAGGGTAATGGACTGTTCTAGTCAAAGTCCTGATTTGTTTCCCAAAGAAATTTTGTAAGTATTTGAAATGAGCAGTAAATGCAAGGACACCATGGATCTTCAAATAACATCTTGTGACAAAAGGGGGGTCCTACGTGGCCCCAAAACTTTGCACCTTACCTCTGTGATGTAATGATCTTTAGAAAACATTTAGACATTATTGTAAAGGTCCATGGTGTGCTGGTGATGTATGCTTTGTAGTTGCTGCAGCACCTGCTTACTTCTGCATTGTCCGGTAACCTGTGCAATGGGAATATTACACAGGTTACAATATTACAATATATTACACACATTATTATTAGTATGTTCAAGGCCAGAAAAATCTTGCAGCTAAAGGACTTTTGGGTATGAAATTGGTAAAAGTGTCCGAGACTAGTAGGCAGTTATGAAATGCCTGCGAGAAAGTACACCATTACAGCTATTGATATTTTGTTAAATAAATTATTGAAAAAGTATTTTTGTTTTTAATCAAATCTGTCACCTTTTATCTGTAAGCACAGTTACGAGCTACCTCTCTGCACTTGTAAACTGGTTGTGCGTATTGTATATGGCGATTGAAAAACGGTAGTACAGAGGACCCTGCTGCTCAATGCCCCCAGACTGTGCAATCCCAGTAAATTAATGCCACCATCAGTTGTAGATTTAGGGCTCATGTACACTGCAGCTGCTAAACTGACGTTCAGGAGCTTTTCTGCGTTTTTTTTTTTTTTTTTAGCAGCCCCTGAACTCTCCCTAATTTTTTCCTATGTGTCCATGTACCCATCATCGTTTACAGGCAGTTGAGTTTACAGTCGCTTTTTTGAATGCACCAAACTTGCGTTCAGGAGTAGATTTTACCGGCGTGTCAAATGCCAAACGCTTGTAAATGCGTGTAAACGCAGTTAACTGAGTTTATAACGGTTTGCTTTTTTTTTTTTTTTTTTTTTTTTTAAACTGTTCCATGTCCAGATGCTGTCCGGAGCCTTTTTTCAAAATCAGAAATGCTTGCAAAGCATTTTTCATGTATTCAAATGGACCCATACACCAGCGCAGTCAGTTCCAAGTTTCGCTTGAAGGAAAAAATGGTAGAACGTGCTGCATTATGCTCATGATGGGATCCATAGTGATTACAACCAGAAGAGACAGGTCATCTCAACACATACTGCTCTCTGCTTCTGCTCTCTCTATTTTTTCAAAATGTCTGAAATAGTTAATTTTTTACTATTTTTCAGTGCATTCTGGGCATTTGGGAGGGTCTCCTGAGGTTATCTTTTAAAAACGCTTCTAAACGCAAATGCGGTATGCAAACACGGCTAAACTGACATTTTTTAACCTACATTTTCCAGCAGTCAGTTTCCATTGTTCAGAAGAGTTTTCCAAATGCCCCGTGTATGAGCCCTTATAGCAGTTTTTATATTGCTGGTTGTTGTAGTGCTTGTCACCCAATCAGAATAAAGTGCTGTCCGTACATGCTGCTTTGATCCCCTCTGACACCCCATTTAGTTGTTACCATCAGGGGTGGACTGACCATTTGGAAACTCGGCACTGCCCGAGGGCCCGGGGTCCCGGGGTCAGTAGGGGGCCCCATGAGATGCCCCTGGTACCTTTTTCATAGGCTTTTTTGAGTTTGGGCAAGGACACAGGGGCCCCATGATCCCCTATTGCCCAGGGGCCCCATGAGTTTTCAATCCGCCCCTGGGTACCATGATTTCTAATGATAGATGACCTGTTATTCCGGTCTAGACGTGAGCAAGCACTAGTTCAGCAGGTGTATTATATGCACTGGACATGGTGCAGAATGATTGTTCACACAGTCCTCCCTTAAAACTTTGGGAATTCATGTTTTATATGTTTATCATTGCTACCAGTTTTTTGTTCTTTTTCTGTTTGTTTGTTCTTTCTTTAGCCCCAAAACTACAGCTCCTTGAGTCGTCATACACACTGGACATTTTTACAGCTGCTGTTTTTGGCTTTTGATGTTTTTTTTTCTACAGCCAGTAAACTCCCCAGCATGTTATCCTATGTGTCCATGCACACATAGACTGGAATCAATGTTTTTTGGCAGGGATGTATTTTGGCTGGAAAAAAACCCCAGGACTAGTGGATTTCTAGAGGAGTTTTTTTTAGTTGTGGCAAAACCGGTGTTTTTGGACTTTTTTTTTTTTTTTTACCAAAAAAATTTTTTATTGGTAAGAAAAACTCACTAAAAACCGCAAGTGTGGGAAAACTCAGCTAAACGCTAATGCAAAAACACAAAAAAAAAGCTGAAAAACTCACGTGACTTTACACAGCTAACGTTACCAGTGTTATCAAAAGCCCAGTGTGCATGGTCCTTATATAGGTTTAACCGCTTCCATTCTGGACACTTTTCACCCCTTTCCTGTCCAGGCCAATTTTCAGCTTTCAGTGCTATCACACTTTGAATGACAGTTGCACGGTCATGCAACACTGTACCCATGTGAATTTTTTAGCCTTTTTTTTGAGACAGATAAAACTTTATTTTAGTGGTATTTATTCACCACTGGGATTTTTATTTTTTTTTACTATATAAATGAAATGTCCAAACATTTTGAAAAAAATATTCTTAGAAAATTGTGCAAATAATCTTTCTTCATAAATCTTGGACAAAATGTATTCATCTATCTTTTTAGTAAAAAAAAAAAAATAACCCAAATTAGTTTAGAACCAAAAATTATAATTTTTCAAAAAAATTTGTGACTTTTTTTTTTTTTATATTTTTTTTAACATACTGTCACCCTAACAATACAGTGTCACCGTAGTGACACTGTACTACTTGTGGGGGGTGATGAATTTTTTTTTTTTTTTTTTACACTGATTGCTCCTTCTCTCTGGCTGCATTCTTGCAGCCATTGAAAAATACTGTGTGAGCTGTGATTGGTCACAGCTTGTTACGTGGTACTAGGCTGTTTTGAATAGCCCTGTACCATGTGACCTCTGTGATCATTCACAGATTTCACTAGGAGTAAGCAATGATGTCAGAAGTGACATCTTGCTTACTACTATTCATGTGATCACTGATTGGCCAATCAGTGATCACACGATCGGGACCTCACATAGAGGTCCCATACAGCAGATTGCGGTGCCGCGCGTTCCTAGGGAGTGCGCACAGGCAGGGAAGTGGGGAGGACGTTTATAAATGGCCACCCGCTCCTGCTATGCTCCTGTCCGGCCGTTTACATACATGGGCCGGACGGGAAGTGGTTAATTAAGTTGAGTTTAGTTCTTTTTTTTTTTTTTGTGGTGTCTGCATTAGTTTTCTTTTATTAAGGGTTTTCCTTTTATTTTTTATTGGTAATCAAGCCAGTAAGTCTGTTATTTTTCAACTTATTTTAACAGACCAAGCTGTCCAGACAAATTGGCAGTTGAGACAAACTATTTCCCACTGACAGAGGTGATTACAATGGTCAACTTTTACTCATTTATGTATGTTATCCCAAACAGTAAAAGCAAACTGTTGTAACTGCTTATAAATTGTAAGCTGGAGTTCAGCCTTAATCTGTTAGTCAAGTCCATTTGAAGCTGACCATACACGTGCAGATTTTCCTTTGAGAATGTTTTAGTTTCAAGAATATTTGTTTGATTTTCTAATCGTTAGTGGGGTCAAATCAATTTTTGTTTTCGACAGCAGTGATGGGAAAATTCTAAGGGGCAGGAAGGAAAACTTTAATTTTGAGCCAGTATATGCGGTTATCGTTCAGAAATTACATTCATTTTAAAATCGAATGTTAAAAGTGTTACTAAACTTACAACAGTAAAATCAGTCTGTATATGCAGTAAAGCATGCTTGTTATGCTCACTGTGTGGAATCTAAGGGGTTAATCCTTTGCATTGTGCAAAACCGCTGTTTGATCCTGACTTCTCTGATCCTCCCCTTCTTCCAGTGCCCCCCTCTTCTCTCCTGATAAGACATATCATGTGGAAACACTCTGCACATGCTCAGTTTGGTGTGTATTGCTAGAGAGGTTGTTTTTTGTTTTTGTTTTTTTTCCTTGGGAGAGTGCATGTGATCAGCTCAGGGCCAATCAACACTGTCCAGACAGAGGTCAGGGGTTCTGCATCCTCCTAGAGCAGAAACAAAACTCCTCCAAGTTTTAACCAGTGCTCTGCTGGACACTGATAGAAGTCACAAGACTGCTCTAACTGCTGATGAGAAACAGTATTTAGCAGTTTATATTTACTAAAATAATTGCATTTCCATGTTGTGTGTACTGTAGGAGACCGGATAGAGTGAATGCAGGCTCCTGGGTTTAGTAACACTTTCATTCCAGACTCTCAGAATCTACGCAATAAAAACAATAATTAAAAAAAAAAAAAAACCCTGAATTCACTTTAACTACTTGCCCAACCAGCAGTGCTGGGACAAGGTCATCCAGCACCCAGACAACTTTCTAATGACATTTGTCCGTTCATCAAATGTTCAAAGAATTTTCATACAACTTTTCCTACGAATATTATTGTCCAAAAATCTACACGTGTATAAGAACTGATTCACACGTGTGGTGTGCATTGAAGTTCAGGTTTCACAGCTATTTGACACAGTAGTAGTTCAGCGGTTCATGTCAGGTTTATATCAGGGTCAGGACAGGATTAGCTCAGAAGTATCCTGTTCACACATATGCGGTTTAGGAACGGTTCCCATAGAAGTCAATGGCATGTAATCTGCAACTGAACCTAAAGCCATTGCTCAGAAATGAGACCTTTTCTAAACTGCACTGAATCCGCACCACCAGTGCACCAGACATATGTAAACAGAAACCATAGGAAGCAATGTTTTTTCACGTCATGCGGATTGGATGCGCTTCAAAACGCATCCAATCCGCATATATGTGAACCAGCATTAAGTCTGCTAGACTAACACTACCTTCTCCCCAGATTGACAATCCCCCTGTCCAAAGGTGTCTGCTTTACTACTTCTCCAGAATGCTGATGACTGAAGGGCCAGTTCACACCAGAAATCACACAGCAAAGTGCTCATGTTCCTGTGCGATTTGAGAGCAGTGCTTTTTAAGCCTATTCATTTAAAAGAGCTGAAATCACTCTGCACTGCACCGTATCTCATGGCACTTCTCAATCCGATGCAGGCAAACTCGCTGCGTTTGGGGTGTTGTTGGCATTGCATTGACACCCGCTGCAGATCGCAAGTCCAGTGTATTTTGAACGTGGTACGGTAAACACAAGTGTGACAGAGGGTAGGCAGGACAGAACACACAGAGCAGATGGCAAACACACAAAGCTTTATTGAGACAAAATGACAGTCACTCAATGGGGAAATTGCAGGGAAGGTGACCTCGCCAATAGGGGAACAGCAAGGAGAGGGTTATAACACTTGTAGTCCAGCCCCACGGGGCAAAGGTAAAGTCTCTGCAGCAGATTGTAATCCAACGGGGGGGGTAGGGGGGCAGCTCAGGAACTGTTCAGGCAAAACAGGGGAAAGCATACACTCACGGATCCGACAGGGTGCCCGGTCTCCCAGGGGTAAGATAGTGTGACACAGGTACCTGCGGGAATCCGGATTAGGCGTGTGGGCTCTCCCTCGGCTGGTCCTCAGGCAGCGGGCGTGTGCGATTTCCCCCCCCCCCCTTTGGCTGGGGGTCTCAGGCAGGCTGGCGTGCGCGGTCTCCCCCCCCCCCCCTGTATCCTTGGGGGTCTTGGCAGAGTTAGCCACGAGGGTCCCGCCGCAGCTGGGCTCCCTCCGTGGCTGCGCAGCGGAGAAGATGATCGGGGAGCCTGGCATCAGCCTTCTTAAGCTGATGCAGGACGCTCTCAGGTCATCCCGGCAACTGTGGGTGGGCCGGGGCCAGCAACGAGGCACACCCCCTGGACAAGGGCCATGCTTTCTAGTGAGCGCGTCCTTTGTCCAGGGACATCCGCAAACACGGGAACTCTCCATGCCCGTGCTGCGGATGACAGGACCGGGTGGCGTCAGTCTGACGCCGTGGTCCGGAACATCCCTGCAGGAGGTTCGCACCTCTCCGTGGAGAGGTGTGAGCCTCGCTACCTTCTCCTCTCCGGCCACGCCGGAGATGAAGATAGTGGCAGGGATGGTGAAAGCCGCATCTCTCGTCCTGCTCGGCAGGACGAGAGGTGGAGGGGGGTCATTTGCAACGAGGAGGAAAGTACAACTGGAGACAGGGGATGACAGTGGAGGGTAATTACGTTAATGGAATTTGGGGACATTTTGCAAGGTGACATGGAGGGGGAAGTACGTTAATTGAATTTGGGGACATTTGACAGAAAACAGTAAGGAATGCATTAAGGATGTACTTCGTTTGGACACGAGGAATTAGTGAGGGGATTAAGGCAGAAATTAATAATTGGCAGAGCACCTATATTGTGACAACAAGAATTTTTTTTTTTTTTTAATCTGTCAGGCATTGAATGCGCTGTTAACTTTGAAAATGCACACAATAGTGATAGTCTGTATGTTTATTGATGATAGTTCATTAAGTGACACAACATGGAGCTCACATAGCAGTAGATTTTGAGGGTATTATTGGCTTCCACAAAATTTGAATTACATTATGCCCAAATACTACTTTATTTTTAGCCATGTATTAAAACGGTAGTAAACACCGCTGAGACGCTTATAATAAAATGTACCTGTGGGTACAAGGTAGATCTCCTATATGTGCACCGTTTAGGAAATATTCACTGATTGTGCAGTTGGTGACGTCACCGCACATGCTGTGTGAAGGGACAACATACTCATGCCTTCCCTTCAGAACTCTGTGCTGAGGACGTAACTCCCATGTGCATGCGTGGGAGTGACGCCATCGCGGCTTGGCCATTCAAACTACCGAAGCCTGCAAACCCAGAAGGAAGACCAGGAGAAGATGAAAGCCATGTCAGCAGTGACAGCATGCCGCTGGAGGGCTTTATTTTTAGGTAATTTTTTTTTTTTATAGAGTGTAAGTATTCGATGAGAGAACTAGCACATCATGACATTGCCTTGCAGGGAGAAGATTTATTTTTGTCAAAAGACTTTACTACCGCTTTAATCCAGTGTGTAGGGTTAATTTCAGTCCAAACATATTTTAAAATGCAGACATTTAATACTGGGTTATACAGACAGGTGTTTTTGACATCTGCCTTTGTATGAATAGCATTTTTTTTTTTTTTTCCTTTTTATTTCTGGATGTTACATGTGCTCACATGTTTTGGATGGCCTTTGGTTCAGTTTGAAGCATGTACATTCCACAACTTTATGTATGGAAGTTTGACACTGAAAAGTGTTGTAGGGTACAACTAAACTGATAAGAGGCATGGAGGAGATCAGTTATGAGGAAAGATTAGAGGAACTGAATTTATTCTCTCTTGAGATTAAGGGGGGATATGATCAACATGTATAAATACATCAGTGGTTCATATAGTGAACTCGGTGTAGAGTTCTTCACCTTGAGGTCATCACATAGGACAAGGGGGCAATCTTTACGTCTGGAGGAAAAGAAATGTAATCTCCAAAAATGGAAAGGTTTCTTCACAGTGAGAGCTGTGAAAATGTGGAATAGACTCCCTCAAGAGTTGGTTCTGGCCAGCTCAGTGGATTGCTTCAAAAAGGCTTGGATTGTTTCTTAGATACACAGAATACAATGGGATACTAACATTTATAGGTAAAGTTGATCCAGGGAATATCTGATTGCCTCTCGGGGGATCAGGAAGGAATTTGTTGCCCTGCAGGAGCAAATTGGATTGTGTGCTGGGTTTTTTTTTGCCTTCTTCTGGATCAACTGTGGGTATAGGATTATAACTGTTGTTGTTTTTTTTTTTTTTTGTTTTTTCTATGGTTGAACTGGATGGACTTTTGTCTTTTTTAGCCAGACTAACTATGTGCATAGTACTCTTTACTGTAATAAAATGCACTTCATTTTATATGGACAGCAGAGGAGTACCTATAATCTATAAATGCACAATGGGGTTTAAGATCCAGAGAATGACCTGGCCTTGGTAGATATCTGAAGACTTGTTTGTACTTATCAGAGTATTCATTTGTTGAAATGAACACAATTATTCCCAACCTTTTCCATCCAAGACATCCAGCAGCACCGCCTTAGCTACATGGCCAAACTTTTTAATTGGGCTTAAAGCTCAACACAAGGTTGTACCACAGAGCCCTTTTTTAATTTAAAATTGAAGGGCATTCGTTCCAGTTGCATGATGCCACAGGGCTCTTTCATCCCAACAGTGAAGAATGGTGAAGGGAACATCATGATTTGGGCTTGCTTCACTGCCTCAGGGCCTGGACCACTTGCCATCATCGAGACAAAAACGAATTCCCAAGTTTACCAAAATATTCTACGGGATAATGTCAAGGTGGTTGTTTATCAGCTGAAGCTTAGTAAAAGTTGGGTGATGCGGTGGGAAAATAGCCCTATACATCAAAGTAAATCCACCATAGACTGGCTTTTGAAAAAAAAAAAAATATATATGCCTTTTGGAGTGGCCCAGTCAGAGCCCAGACCTTAGCGCCATAGAAATGCTGTGCAATGACCTCGAGAGCTGTTCACACTAGACATCCATCAAACATCCTACAAATGTGGCTGAGCTGAAGCAGTTTTGTAAAGAGGAATGGTCAAAAATTCTGCCAAACAATGTAGAGATCTGATCCAGAGCTACCGAAAGCACTTCCTTGAAGCCATTGCTGCCAAAGGTACGACTAGCTATTGACTTTATAGGTTCATTATTATTTTTTCCTCTACCACTGTGCATGATTAATGGGTGTGTTCAATAAAGACTCAAGAATTTAGGCTTGTTTGTGTGTTATCATCTTAAGCACATTGTCTTTTGTCTATTTTGTGGTTTACAGTAGATGACGATCAGATCATATTTAACGGCAGATTACCATTCTCATCTAGGCTAGATTGCCTCCTCTGTACCCGCAGCCTCTTAGAAATGGCATGCTTCCCAGGAGCCCTCAGCTTCAATAGAGCAGCCTGAGGACAGTGAACCTGTGGCTGTAAGGGGCAAATCTGGATGTGTGAATCACTCATCAAGGTCTTTTACCTCTTGGCATTTATAGTGACAGTTTGAGTTTTTGAGTTTCTTGCTTTGCCCTCCTGCTTGCAGCGACTAAAAAGTGGTCTCACTGTTGGGGTTTTCCTTGGATAAATTTTATAGTGAATACAGCAGGAGGATGGACGGCACAGTGGCTTAGTGGTTAGCACATCTGTCTTGCAGTAATTGGGTCATGGGTTTAATTCCCAACCATGGCGCCTCCTTCATGGAGTTTGCATGTT